AGTACATGTTTTAGCAAAGTTAATGTACGCTCGTCACAGTTAATAATTTAATTTGATACGTAGCCTGCGGCTGTCGTCTTTATATGACACTACTTTCCTAATTTGTCGCAAAAACATCTTATTCACCAGATCCGATTATGGTGCAGTTTTGTTTGTTATTGTTTTGTCTGCAAACTGTTGACGTTTTAAAGCTGGAGATTTTTTGTTACTGTGGGGTTTTATGGTATAGAATTGTAGGTATATACATGGGGGTATACATAGAAAGAACTACCGGGAAGGTTTTGTAACAGAACTTTTGACGCATCCTGTATATAATAATATAATAAAAGGTTATGTTTAACAGGGTGGGGTAAAAGTGGGGTGGGTTAGTGTTTAAAAACATCTTTTTTAATTTACCTAGTCGATGAGCGAAAACTTTATGTAGAAAGCAAGGAGAGGGATAAAATTTGTTATACCTATAATTATGTACGCAATTACTTATCATGCTTTAGTTAAGTAGCTATAGCATATTACTTTATCACCCAAAAGTTCAATCTACAGTAGTAACTTTTAACTTTGAACCTTAATTCTTGCAATTACTATTACTATGGAAGTAAAATCTTTATTTTACCAAAACTTAGACCCCAAACCAACAACTTTTGAATACGTTTATAATTGAGCATTGATACTGCGATAATGTCTTTTTGGGTACATACTATACCCGAGAGCATTGATACTGAATATTTTTTGGGCACATACTAAAGAGCATTGATACTCTTTGTCGGCGTGAAAACACGTTCTCTGCCAAGATTTGTCATTTTTACATTCCGATAAAAGGACCAAATCGAGCATTAAGACGGAGTAAACATTTTATGGCATGGTTATGTTATAAGTAGCTCAAATGGAACACGAATAAGGAACTGTCGCGACATTGACGTCTTATTTATTAGAGAGGAAGGGGGGGGATTTTAGGATAAGCGCTAGGTTGGCTGTTAATGGCTAGTTTTTAGAAAAAGAGATAGACGTTTCAGGAACTTTTAGTATAATACTGTGGCACCCTCTTTATAGTGAAAGCTTTTTGACCGTCCTTTGTATTATAATAGAACCTCATACCAAAAAGTAGCTGGGCAATGAATATAGTGCGATACCCTGTTTAGAAGGACAGGGTTCGACCGGTCTTTTGAGTTTTATACTAAAGAGGTTCGGCTATAAATATGATTTTTAATATATGACTTTTGGGTTGACTTTGAATTCTAAGTAAGCTTAATCTAACGACTTTACATATTGTTTTAAAGCTTGTTTTAATACCTTGAATACACTTTTTTGTTGTCTGATCTTGTGGGTCTGCTTCAACTTCGGGCTTTAAGTTTTGCGTTATATCCGGATTGGCGTAGTAATATTTGAAACAATCTTTTTATTTTAGTGTTGTTGTTAGGTTAGCACTAATGTGGCTGAGGGTCGATTTCTTTTTTGTTGTGGCATAAGGGGGATCTGTAAGTGTATTTTTTTAACCTATAGCGGTGTTTTTGCCTTTACTCGCTTCACCAAGACCAAAATAACTTTGACATAGCAAATATTTTACGTAAAAGACTTACAAGTTGTTAGTATGAAAGCCTTTTTAGATATTGTACAAGACTTATGCTAAACGTCTTTTTGAGCAAGGTATCATTGTATTGAAAATTGGTATTCGAAAACAATTTGAAGGATGAGGATACTTGGCGTTTGAAGTGCGACGTTTGTCAATTGGCACGTTCTCATTATTTACATTTGTCTATCTCTAATACTGTGACATTTCTACTTCCACAAATCTTTACAACGTATAGTATAACACTAATTGACTTCCTTATTGTCTTTTGAAACTAGTTTTGGGGCTTTGTTTAAGATACCATGGTATCTTTCTTGAAGATAATGTAAAGTTATTATGGTATCTTTCTTAAAGATAATATAATATTTGTAATGTAATAGCTTTGCTTGAGATATCATAGTATTATATTTTAACGAGATATTGCAATCATAGACACACCTTTTGGCAGCGACTGTACTTTTTTAGTAGGATATAATAGCTATAGTAATATAAATACTTTCACTGTAAACATGCTTTGGTGCCTATAGAAAGAGTATTTATATTACATTCTTTATCCATGGCTTATATAGTATGATATCCGTAATAACTCTATAGAAAGTAGCATTATAGTAGATATATTATAGTATATACTATTCATATAGCAGACATTTTTATCCACTCAGTAAAGCTTGCTACCTCTCTCTATGTATAGTGTATTGTGTATTATATCAGTTAGCTGTAGCACCTTCAATACCGTTGTATATAATCTCTGCCAGATTGTAAGTATTCCGAATACCTAGTAGTTGTAGTACACACCAGTAAAATAATATAGAAAAAAAAACAATTTGGCCCACAATTAAAGAAATCGGATTTGTGGCTGAAATCGGCTTAAGTATTTTAATGCCGAATTCAGAGAGTAAATGTCGTTTTCGACATATTTTCCATTTTCAATTCGAATACTTTTAGGTTAATCTTGCAGGGCGCTCGGGCTAGCTTTATTCAGTATAGCTTTGGTTATAGAGTTATGTAGTTATAGGGATAAAACATTATAATTGATGGTAGTTTAAAAATTATAAGTTATGTTTTTAAAGAAAGGGTTGTTAGGGGGGGAGGGGGGGGAGGGAATAGGAGTGGCTGAATAGAGATGAAGACCGGGCCGTGTAAACTCACCTCGGCCGGTTTTGAGCTAAAGTTGAAGCGGGCTGGGCCTGGGCAGACCAAGAATTTTTTGTCCAGTCTGGGCGTAACGTTTGGCCCCGAGTCCCCGAGTCAGGATCAAACCTTTAAAATGACCCGTTTTTTATCCTCAGGGCAAGAGAGAGGTAATCTTAAGAGCAGTACTGCTTCTTAAGGTAAGGTTTTTTAAGTTTAATATGAATTTTAAAATTTGTTCTTCTTTTTTAGGCTATAATCACTTTTCTGGCCCTAGTTATCACTGATACTGATTTCTTTATTGATTTTTTTAATATAACAATTTTTTTAATAGTTTTTAAAAATGCTTTGCTTTTGCACTTTCTGCAGTGTATTTGAAAGGATTTGAAAATTTAAACAAATTTGTTGGCCTAGAAAGGACAAAGAAGATTGGATGGACTAGACTGTAAACATGTTAGGTTCAATAAGGTTTGTCAAAAAAATATTTTTGAAATTTTTTGAAACTTTCTATTTTTTTCTAAGTGACGGATTAAAGAAGGCCATTTTTTTAAATTAGAGGATCACAATTAAACCTAAAAAATTTTTTTTAAATAAAAAATTTAGTTAAAAATCCATTTTTTCGAAAAATTTTTTAAAAATTTTAATTTTTTTAGTACTATTAGCTTTAGTGGAACTCATGTTTAACAAAATTTCGTGTAACAAAAATATTGAAATCTCAATCTAACATTCACCGCATACAAAACTCTTGTATAACGAACAAATTAAAAATCTTAAACAATTTGTTATACAAGAGTTTTACTGCATTATTGTAGCCACTTTTAGCTTTACAGTCAATTTTTAGAGTCCAGAACCCAGAAAGATTAGTCATGTTTGCTTTGGTCGGTCAGAACCACTCTAATTGGAGTTTAATTTTATGTAGGAGGGTCTTTATGTAAATGGCATTGGATTATTTATCTTCTGAATATGTAATCTTTAAAGCTTTTGTAAACAGATTAATTAAAATATTAGCGTTCTTTTTTATATAAAACATTGAGAAGGGTCTATTATAATAATAAATCTTGTGTTTCATAGTTTATCAAATGATTATGGCGTTTACTATCAATAGGGTTTAAATTGTTTTAGATAATACTATGAATAGAGCATACATTGTAATAGATAATAGACGATATGTTACTGGGAATGGTACCATTTAAAAAATGTATTGTATTAGGAAGTGTTGATACTACAGAAAATGAATTGAAATGTGTTGTCAGATACTTAAAAATGAATATTGTAGTTTTTAAAAATTGTTAAATGTATATAGTTACGTCAAAAAGAATGATAATAGTCAAAAAGAATGAAAAACTTTGAAAATGTAGTTTTTGTCTGATAACTTTAGTTTTAAAGCCGTATTTTACTGACAATATTCTTGATTATAAGCCTCACTTCTCATCAACATCTGATTCTATAATATGTGTCTGATTTCATTTTAAACGACGTTAAATTCATAATTAATAGTGTCATTCAATTATTAAACTCATTAATCCTGAGGGACCGACTTGACGATAAAAACTTTCAAATTGAGGATTATACGTGTTGGAGATTTTAGTTTTTTGGCTTTTAGGTGGTCTATATCACTGTATATATTATATATTCTCCTGACGGGTCATTTTAAAATTAAAAAAAAATAAAAAAATTTAGGGGCATGAATATTGAAGGGGGGGGGGGGAGGTATGAAAAACAATTTTAACTAAGCATGGAAAAAGACGACTAGGCCCGGCCAGCCTCAGCTCAGCCTATCCCGAGGAATGGAGCTGAAGGAACTATAAAAAAGCCAGGCTGGAACGGCACACGAGCTTTGGTTTGGGCCCAACGGCCTGAGCCCAAACCAAAGCTCGGTCGGTCTTTTTACAGGTCTATCTCTACGTTTTATTAGCTTTTCTGTTGATTATTCTTTGTATAGTATAACTCTTGTATAACAAATCGCTCGGGGCTTTAAAAGTTGTGTTTCATACCAAAGTTCGTTATACACAAGTTCTACTGCATTTTAAGTTTTACAGTATGAAATGTCTATATGAAAGTAGCCCGCGACAAAACGATCTCTAATAAAACTTGTCGCAAATCCTCAGAACCTCGTACGTACTTAATGCGTGTTGAAAATGATTAAATCGATGATAATATTGGGTATCTTTTCAGGATTAGTTCTCCGTATTGATTACGCAAAAAGAATCCCTTTTCATCGTGAGAGTATTATACGGTCTAAGCTTACATTTGGCGGCCGAATTCGCGGATTTTCCACCAATTGGCTTTATTTGTAGCGGCCATTATGGGACAGTTCAGGGTGAGTTTGTACAGTCATTGTTGTGGTACTTAACTTTTGAAGAATTTTTAGTTATAATTAGTACTGTTTTAAGAGTATTAGTAATATCTAGTACTAAAGGTACTATAATATTACTCAAATCACTAAGTACTCAAAAGTAGTACTAAAAACAGTCTCAATATTGTAAAATACGTAATCGATATACGCGTCAAACTAAAATTTCAGAAAAAATCGATGGACAAAACGCTTCTGAAGCACAATGGAAACTTGCCAAAGATCACGATGACCACAGATGACGCCCCAACCACACAGCCAGTGTTTGACAATAGGAAACAGTCGACAGGAACGTTGAATCGTCTAATATTAGTAGCTCAAGCATTAGAACATGAGGTTGATTCGAGGAGGCGAAGCGACATAAACGGGTCTAGGATTATATTAACCATACGAATGGCTAACATGGTGCTTCTGGTAGGTTTTTTTGTTTAAAAAGACAAATTTTTTCAAATAAAGTATAAGGTTGCTCAAAAAATTCTGTGCTTACTAATACCAAAAATTTGGTTTGTGTAAGGGCTTAGAATTATTTGAACAACCTATTCTAAGAAGTCTAGTTTTCTGGTATACGTCTATCAACACAAAGTGCAAAAATTTAAACATTTTTATCAAATTTTAATTATATTTTTTCAGATATTAGTAAACGTACTGATATTTACCGGAGTAGGCCAATACCAAGGTCGTAATGGCATGAGACAATCACTGATGTTAACAGCCAACAAATGGACCTATAAGAAAGAACATCGACTGCCGTTTACGTTTTCAGAAATGAAATTGACAGGACAGTACGTATCTGGAGTACTATCAGCTGTGATGTTATGTCTAACGTTGGTACTACAACTTGTACATTGCTTTAAGTGCAAACATTCCAAACTTATGGTAAGTGTAATATAGTTTTATAGCATTTTCTAGACCCAGTTGAAGCCTTAACATAGTAAAATAAATTTTTGACTAACAATCAATAAGCAAGCTTTATAATGTTGTATTTACCTTCATTATGCCGTACTAACCACTTTTACTTGATTCATATACATACATCTATAGACACAACTTACAAAATTGACCTAAATTTTAAATTTCAGTGCATATGCTATTCCTTTGGATGTGTGCCATTCTCGTTGTTGGTATTTGGCCTAGAGATGCATTATAGTGCATGTCCATGGCTAGATGACTTTTATCGAAGTGAAATCCTTCGCCGGGACTTTAACGCAGTAGAAAAGTACTTTGATACTCAATGTGGCATCAATGGATGGGCATTAGCTGGGGTAAGGTTTTTTATTTTTAGGTATTAACTTTGGTTTTTAAATATAAATATATTAGTGTGTATAAAAAAGATTGAGCTAATGAACTCCATTCGAAATTTTGGTTTAAATTATATATATTCAGTACGATTTATATACTATTCAGTACGACAGATTAGACACGAAACTACTAAACTATTCCAAACACTTTTCGGCTTACAATTTTCTGTTTTTGGCCACAAGCTAAGCTGTTTCAAAGTAAAATGCAAATAAATTCTTAAAATGGCAAATTTCTAAAATTATCGTCAAACAATGACAAGATATTACCAGAGTCATATGGGGTTTGATTACATTGTGACGTTGCATTTAAAGATTCCGAGGAAGGATAATGTTGCGAATTCATAAGGTTGTTTCTATAAATAATAAATTTACTAGGGATTGTCGCACAATGGACATCGACGTATTTTACCATAAACAAAGTAAAAAAATTAATAAAACCAAAATTTTAAAATTTCAAAAACTGTTTTTCAGATATTCTCTCTACTATCATGTGGCCTGTTCGTGAGTGAAGGCCTAATCACAGCGTTCTTCCGTTCCGGCGAGCCTCACGATGACAATGGCGAGAAAAGCGAAACCATACTGTAACATTGATAGTGGTTTTAAAGGAATTTCTGAACATTCAAAACGTCTTTCTTGACATCAACTTCTTTTCTATGGACTTTTTCATTGAGACTATAAGTTTTTAATTATAACGTTTAAATCATATACGATAGGACGAGGGTGGCGTACTTTTGCTCGAAGCAAACCCCTATTTCTTAGGCTTGGCGCTCTGTTTAGCTTCTTAGACTCGGCAATTTTTTTCCTAAAATTGAGCTCAAGTTTAATTTTTCCATATATGTTGATGCCACAATAAAACGTTTTAAATGACAATCATATTACACAAATCTACGGTTATTATCTCATATTGTAAGTATTGTGATCTCTATTGTACTTTACTTTGTTCAAAGGTCTATTTTTTCAATTTATTATTGTTTATAATGTAAAATTGTTCCATAAGATTGATAAAAAATAAAATCAGAAGTTTTAAAGTAACCGTATTAGATTTTTAACGATTCGAAAGCGAATAGTACTATAATATAACACAATATCAAGGCCATATAATATATAGATATAGTGTGGCAGGTTCACCAATTTAAACACAAACATCAAAACTTAAAAATATTTATTAAAACAAGCCCAAAGCTATAAGATTAATTCAAATTCAATGTTTATAAAAAGGTTTCGTCCTCATCGTCGACCAATTCGTTTGTTTTGACAATCTCTTTGGCTTCGTCTGTGGTCGGAGTCTTTTCCTGTTCAGATAGCTTCAAATCGACCAGAGTTTCAGTAATTTGTGGCAAAAGTAGAGGACTAGTTAGGGAAAACCGTCTCAATTCCTCTTTTTGAACTTTGCCCGAGGCTGTGCGAGGTAGACTTGGCAGAATAACCAGTCCACCACGAAGGTGTTTGTACGATGCTACTTGGGCTGGAAATTTGTAAAATAATGGTAATAATAAAATGATTTAAAAATGTAAAATACGAAACAATAATTATAAAAAATGGCCTATCATTATATCCTACCGTTAACAGACTCCCTCAGTTTGTCAGTGAGTTCTTGAACGTCATCAGGCACATAATTCAAAACAACAAAAGCTCTAGGCACCTCGCCAAAGGAATCAGCTGGCACTCCAATTACTGCTGCTTCAGCAACAATGTCATTACTGAGTAACAGTGACTCCTAAAACAAATTTCATTGCTTCGTATTTTTTAAATATTAGGTTGTTCAATGAATCCTGTGCCTCTTTGTTGGTAAGCGTCACTGTCAGAAAAAGTTTTTAGAATTACAGGGCACAGAATTATTTGAACAACCTAACAGTAAAATTATTTTACCATAAGACGTATATAAGGCTTCTGAAGCTTACCAATTCCAAAGGTGACAACTGCATTCCATTGACTTTGATCAAGTTCTTAATACGATCTACGATGAAATAAAAGCCTTCAGAATCGAAGTACACAATGTCGCCTATATTTAAAATTTTTAACGTATACAATATAAATCATCAGTATAAGGTAGGCCTGTAAAGGGGCCAAGCTAGACCTAGTAAGCCTAATTATAATCATACCTGTGTGCATCCACTTCTCACTGTCGATAGTTTCTTCTGTAGCCTTTGGATCATTCAGATATCCTTTCATAACACACTCTGATCTCAAGTAGAGCTCTCCTCGTTTGTGTGGCTCCACAATCTCTTCTCCAGTCTCAATGTCAACTACTTTGCTTTCGAATCTTGGTAACAACTTCCCACACGATGTCATATGTTTTAGGTCTGATAGAGGAAGATCCAACGGACTGAGATGACTCAACGCTACAATCTCTGTCATCCCGTAGCCTGAAACTAAAAGGCACGTAAATTTAGAGCAATCGAAAGATAATGGTTAAAAATAATATCTAGTAGTAAAAATATACTACGAAATAAGGTAGTAATATACAAGAACTAATCTATTTACTACAATATCTCTAAAGCTATATAAACCAACTTTTTGATACTTGAAACTTTCATATCTATAAAAAAATTTTAATTTCCGAGTTTTACCAGTAAAATGACATTACCATGAACAAAGTTGACTACATGAGGAAATCGTTCCATAAAATCTTGAGTCATTCCTGGTGACAATGGTGCACTTCCACACAGTACAGTTCGTACTGAACTCAAATCAAACTCTTTTACCAAAGCATCGTTTTTCATTAGAAAAGTTATGATTGAGGGGATCAGGTTGAGTGAGTCTACCTTGAATTATACTACAGTTAACGCGCAAGATCACTACAACTAGGTAAAGCACAGTACCATTGCATATAGGTAAAGCATAGTACCAGTAAATACAGTAATATAATAATAAAATAGTACCTTAGAAACCCTATGTGCTCATTGAGAATTGACAAAACAAAGTTTACGCTCAATGCGATACTAAAAAGTGAATGCTTACCTTGTAATCCTCAATGCAGCTCAACAAAAGTGGTGCTTGAAATTTTTGCATAACCACCGTATGATGTCCAGCTAGTAAACAGTAGCATAAAGCCCAGAATCCGCTAGCATGGTAAAATGGAAGTACTCCAATAGTCGAACGACGTCCTCCAGTTTCTGTCAGTTTATCAAAAACTGCCCTAAAGTAATGAAATTAGCTTTATTTTTAACACTATTTTTTGTATTTTTATACCTAAAAAACTAAAGGAGCTACCGTATTTTACATTTTTAACGACAAAAAAATATTTTTAAAAATTTAAAATCAAAAACATACTCTTTCAAGATCTCGGTCTGAACAATAAAGTTCCTGTGAGTCAACATGACACATTTCGGAGTACCAGTAGTACCACTGCTTAAGGGAGTAAGTAGTACGTGATCCACATTCAAGCCTTTGTCATTCTCCATATCCTCACAAACTGGAGCACTTTGTAAGAGTCGCTCCAGGTCGATTCCAAGCTGTCCAGCCAACTTTCCAATTACAAAGATCGGTAGCTAAAATGTATAGTACTTACTGCTCGAAACTATTGTATTGGTCTTTTTATTGTTAAACTAAACCATTGTACAATTAAAAAAAGTCAAAATTTTAAATTTAAAATCTAAAAAAAAAGTTACCGGAGCAGAAGCAGTAGCCTGCACAACCCTTTCCAATAGTTCGGCCGTTGTAAAAACGCATTTACATTTGGTTTTTCGAGTGTAAAATCCTAGTTCATCTAAAAATTTAAAGTTATTACAAAGTAAAATACGTGTAACCATATCAAGTAAAATAAGTGTAACCATATCTTTGGCCTACAAACTTCCAAAAAATAAAAACCTATAATATTATAAACCATCAAAATGACCACAACCTACCAGAATTAAACTCCGGATTTACACCAGTCAACGAAGCGCCCAATAAAGCAGCGGCCAAGAAGAATATCGGGTAATGGATAGAATTTGGAGTAAATCCAATGACAATATCACCTTTGTCTACATTGTAAACCTCATGTAACTCTTTGGCCAATATAAAGACTCGTCGACGAAGTTCTTTGAAGCTTAATGTTTCACCCGTCTCGGCATCAGTCTATAATTTACAATGATATTCGTTATAAATTATGATGATTATGTTATAACACATAAAAAAAGATAAAGCTGAATTACCAAAACTTAGTCTACCCTTTTTAATATGACACTCAGAAGACTAGACCAAAATGTCATTAAAACCAAGGTGTAACACTATCCAAGTCATTTTTGATAAGAGGTTTATTACAAATAACTGCCAAAAAGCTATCATTATAAAGAGGGTGTCATACCACTCACGGTCATACTAAAGAAGTTTCATTTTAACACAGTACAAAAAAATCTATCTTCATCTTACTATCTTACAATAGAAACACTAATCCCAAAGTCTACCTTAAAACAATCAAAGTTAAAAGCTATACCATAGCGATATCCTCGCCGAATCCCTCGGCCGCGTTCAGGATCTGCCTGTGGTAGAGGACCATGTTTCTCATTCGCTCGTTTTCCTCGTAAAACTCTTCGATTTCCTTTTTGATCTCCTTTTTGAGAGTTTGGTCCGAGAAGTTGTCCATATTCCTCGACTGACCTTCCGCCACCGCTTCGTTTTGTACATTGCAACAAATGCGAGGCAATTTCAGTCAGATTATTAACTGTATTTTTGACTTTGAAATGTCACCACAAGGACGTACTACTAAAATGAATTTCACTGTTTTTACTTTGTCATACGTTTTTTATAATTTTTTTATAAAATTACATGTACGAGAGAATGAACAAGGCTGTGTGCGGTCAAACTGCAGTAATTACAAAAAACCAAAAAATTCGATGCCATTTTTAAAAGCTTTACCAAAACAAATTCCGAGTTTTGTATATATTAACCGTGTTTATTTACAATACAATAAACCTCTAATTTTCTATTTAACAAGATATCATGATACAAAACTTCAAATGAAGTCACAAAATTAAATACAATCTAATAATAGTCATACAAGAAAGATATCTATTATGAAAACATCAACATAATAACTACTTACAAATCATAATAAATTACTTATGATTTGTAATCCTAATGCTCAGACTGTACAATACTTGTTTTGAATATTATGATCGTACTGCAAAAATTCAAATTAATTTAAAATTGACTAAAATCAGATCAGTGAAGACTCGAGTAGTGAGTGATTTTAAAACTGTGTGCGCAATGTTTGATATCATAACACATTGGCTACGGCATTATTGTGATTGTTCTGTTTGGGCTTTTGCTCTGAAATGGAATACTGTAAGTTTCGTTGTTGTTTGGTTGATATATGAATAAATATTAATTTAAAAATTTGTCAAGGTAAAAATATATCGTTATTTCGGTGTATTTCATCTTTTACATCATGTTATGTAGTACAAAGTAAACAAAGTAATAAAATTCTTATAGAACACCTTTAGTATCCTTAAATTTCTCAGCCAAACCTTATGAAAACCTTATTTAAAAGTTGTTTCATTAATCCTCAGCCCCAATCTTTGATCAACTGAAACTCAGATCGTGTTGAGTTTGTTTGTCTAGCTCATGTCATGTTACTTATTGTTCAAAAATCAGTATATTAGTTTCAGTAATGTTACGCAACTTATTTCGAATAATCTTTCACATATTGAACCCAAAAATATTGCCTCGAGCTTTGGTTTTCAGACTTTGACACTTGTTTTGCTCTATTTTGAAGCTGCAAATAATCAAAAACAAACTGGTAATCAATCGTATAGTTATTTTTTGTCAGTAAACAGAGTCAACAAAGATTTTCTTTGATTTTCTTACTGTATTTAAAGTTTTGCTTCAAGATTTTTTGTTCAATTACAATGAAAAGCAATAAGTTTGAGTTCAATACCTTATAAACAAAATTCGACTAAAGGTTTAACATCGCCCAGACTAAATTTCAGCCATAAACTACAATTTTATCACATGAAATATCATATTTGGCTCCTCATGACACTAAATTTGACGTATGAGCAGTGCTTTTAGGTTAAAGTCCATGTGTTTTTAATACAAAATCGAGAGCAAGGTCTTTCTAATATTAACTTTGTACACAAACTAATAGAAATAGTCATCGTAGATCAATAACCTATAGTCAAAAGACCTTTAGCTCAAATAGCAGTAACTCTCACAGCCTTGTACTAACTATCACTACCATAACCGATTCTTTTCAACAACACTGAGCTTTCAATAACAATTTAAAGTAACCCTTTACAATGTGATCAGTCTACTTTCACTGCTCGTATTAAAAAAGTAATAACTCTTTTTTCCCAGTCCAATTGGTCAATCGAATGTCACTGACTAGACCTACTCATATCAAGAGATTTTTGCACTTGTCTCTCTCTAAAAAAGCCAGCTGAAGCAAAAATCGTCTGGTTGATTTTCACGTGAACAATATTATTCCTAGCACGGCGGGGAATGACCTCAAAAGAGAATTCTTCCGCTTTCGTATCATTTGTTATCACAATGTACTGTAATAAAAAATGATACAAGTTACAATTTTGATAATTTGCATCATTATGATATTCAAGTGTTATTTATGGCAAAAAACAGCTTAAATTTAAAATTCAAAACATTCGTTTTTAAATTTAAAAACGTTTAATCCCTAAGATTTTTTTCGTATCACACTTTTTTGTCTACTGACACCTCCCTCAAACGTAACTCTACTGTTTCAATCAGTAGTCTGAATCGCAAACATTAAAGTGCAATCTCATTACGACTGGTTTTTTGCGCATTTAAGTACTTTTCGTGAGTTTATCAAACAAAAGCTTGTTCAAAAGACAAAAGTTAATAGAAAAAGAGCTAATTACAGTAAAACTTTCTAGAATACCACAAGTTCATTTTTGTAAATTTACAAAAACCTTAAGTAACATAAATTAAACACATGCCCTTTTTGATGAACTCTAATAGGAGTTCTGGAGTTCAAGGTAAAAAAGAGTAAATTCTAGTGACTTAAAGAGTCTCTGGAAACCTAAAACAATTTTAGTCCAAAATAGTTCTCAATACCTAATCTAGTCCTATCACATCATACGCTACGCACCTAGGTAATACAAACTTATATTTTGTACTTTTACACTTCTAAATAAAAAAAACAATTGTCTAAATCTTACCTTTTAGAATCCTCCAATTCAATCGCTTCAACTTCATTTTCCAACCCAATTTTTCGTTTTCTAAAACAAGCCAAATCAAGATGTAACTCTTGTTTCAACAGCTCTGTCAGTGTTTCATTCAGATGATCTACAACTTGTTTCGCCTCTATTTCTTCTGGTTTCTCTAACACTCTGTCCGTCTTAATACCATTTTTATATGACACACTGTTGATATATTGTTGTAGAACGTCTGTCATCAAACTGAATGGAATTGGTTTACTGAGAATCTGTTGTGGAGTAAATTGTTTAGAAATGGCTTTAAGGCACAGCTTCTTTAGCGACTTCATTTCATCCTTTACAAAACCAAAAACAATCGGTAATGGAGCAGCATTTTGAGGTTCATAATGGCCAACAACCTTGCCATTCATCGGATAAAATACCTTGTCGTTGGTATGTTTGAATGTATACATTTCACCATCTTCTGAATCTCTGAATACCCAACAATGCCCTTCAAAGGTTTGGATGTCTGTGTAGCCTTTTGGAGCCAGTGACATGTAGTAGGAGTCGTCCATTTCCTAAAACAACAAGACTTATTAAATAAAGCTTGCATATACACTTAAAAATGTAACGATGACCCATAACTAAACGTTATATCAAAACGACATTAGTATCTACAGCTTCATAAAACTCTAATGCATCAGTAATTTGAAATTCCACCTAAAACATAAACAAGAAAGCCAAAATCTTACCCGATCTCTAACCCAGATCATGTCCAACTTTCTGTTAGTCGTGTTGAAGAATCTGACAATCATTCTATTCCTCTCGTTACCCAAAGATGCTTTTCTGCTTTCAATAAACTCAAAACATTTGTCCAATGATGTATCTTCTTTTTCTGAATGATACACCGGTCGGATTCTGACGGCTTGATCTCTTCCGCTTCTGATAGCGTTCATGATTCGAGTGTTGTAGTGGTTGTTCCTCAATTCTTTGATTAACTTGTCGTAACTCAATCCGGTTGCGTGTAAAAAGTAGTAGAGTACGTAGTGAGCGTCGGGAGATTCAGCAAATGTGTAATCCTAAAAAATTGTATTAAATAAACGTTATCCATAATCATGAGATGCTTAATTAAGTCCTCAAGCTAACAGTAATAGTAATTTACAGTATTTAAAACTAAAAAAGCTCTTAAGTTAACTTTTAAATATAAATAAAGACCTTTAAAAGCTACAAATTCTGTGTCTTTTCATAAAAATCACTTAAACTCATAAATTCCAGAACATACCTCCATGTAAAACAATATTTTAACATCTAGAACTGTAAAACAACATTTTTAGAACTGTTATACACTATTCTACCTGTATTTTCACTTATCACAATCAATCAATAAGAAGAACCCATGAAAAAGAAAAAGAATTTTAGAAAAGATAATTTTTCGTCTAGAAAAGAGCGTCGGAGTGACGGGTTTTTTAGACAAGACGAAATATTGTCCGTAAACAAGATTGTTGTCTTGTTGTTGATTTATAATGTTGTTGGCTAGCTATTTAGTAATTTTTAACGCTTAAAATAGTGTTTTTCATGGATCAAAGTACTAGTTCACATGGTTACAATCTTTTTTGTCCTTCAAAGGTCTAAAGTTATATCAGCCGGACTGGAAACAGCTGTGTTTTCAAGAATCTAATGGAGCAAGTTGGCTACCGTATTTTAGATTTTTAAAGTTGGCGTTATAATAGCTGTAATGCAAAGGATTTTATGGTTTAATTGTGGTTTTGAGACAGACAGGAAAAAGGCACCTTGTGGTACATCTACAATGTTTGACCAAGTAAAACTAATGCTAAGCACTACATATAGCATCGATTTTTTTTTCTTCAGAATCTACAGGGTTTTAAACACTTTATAAGCTTAAATTTTTTAAAAATATTTAATCAGAATTCCTGTAGTAACTTACTTTAACCGCGTCGTCCACCTTGACGTCGACGTGAATGTGGTCGTTCAACCACGACAAGTAGGGGTTAATCATCGATCCCAGACACATAATATTGTTGTACAAGAATCTTTCGAATTCTCAATTTTCCACCTCGAATCGGTTGGTTTTAAAAATCTTTTAGTACTTTGAACAGCCGGGGAGGAGCGACTTTGAGGGTGGAGTCAGCTGTCTGTCTGCCTCGTAAATCAGTGTTATCTTTCGGTTTCATCGCATTCATACAGTGAGGAGAAAGTACAGTGACGTTGCGATGTCGTGCTTGTGACGTCGTGCGTCTAGCCATGCTTATTACAGTAAAATAAGTTATAATATGTGATAATGCATCAAGATATGAAGAATGATAGGATAATTGTTTGGCCTGGAAGGTTTTGGTTCAAAAAATGAGTCAACAACTTACTATGCTTCAAACAGTATGAATATGCAAGTTTGATATTAACTGCGCAATTTAAAAATTTATTTTCAAATTTTGAAAATCCCGCTAGTTTAACTCGTTATACCTAAAACTCAAACTTTCTTACTTAAAGTTAGTTATTTTTATTACTATTAATGATAGTTATAAAAAAGGTGTCGTTACGACGTGGATAAAATGTATAGTGTACTTAAACTTATAAGACATTACACAGAAGACAATAACGATGACAGGTTTTCTAGAAATTCGAAGAGAAAAATAATTTTTGGCTCTCTTTTAAAATAAACTTTTACAATGTCGACGAAACGCCACTCACAAACTTTTGGTTTTCCTTCCACCTGGCTCCTTTTGTTGAATTATCACACGAAAACAATAAGGAAATATTATTTTAGACACAGTTTTTAGTAAATGCTCTTTTTTACAACTTGCACAGCAAACTTAATTTTGAGTGAGATTTAACGGCCTTAGGAAAACGGTTTGTGCATTTAATCTTTAATACTGTTTATTCTAATCTGTAATTAATTTTATGGGATTATGAACAAATTAGACGCTCTTCCATGTCAAAACTGACGTTGTTTTCGGTGGGGAGAAGCCTGGGTTAGACGTTTTTTCTAATTTTTCGCTTCAAAAAAGGATTTCCAATAGATTTTTCGAAGCGAATTTCAAGTTTTGCTTTGTCAAAGGTATCCTCAAAGGTTATGTCTACTTTGTCTTGTGACTTTTACGCGTTTTGTTACCCATAATATAGAAAAAGGATTGAAAGTTTTAAATTTGTTTAGTTTTTATTGTTTTTGAAAGGTATTATAATGTTTGATCATTTCTGGTGTTTTTACAATAATATTTGGAACTTTGTAGTTTTACTATGATTTTTATTAATCAAACCGTGTTTTTAAGATTAATTTTTGTATGTTAATTTTTCTGTTTCAGGCCAAGATGTGGACGAAACGATCGGATCCATCATCCTCAGGGGCTTCATCTGGTAGTCAGGTAATATTTTGTATTTTTGTTTGGAAATTTAGGTAAATTTTGGTTGGAAGTAACGGATATAAAGTAGGTTACGCTTCCTAACATAAATAGGTTTTTCTAGATGCAGGATTTGTTACCTAAAAATTATTTTTTTTATTGCTTTAGCTTGGGTTTATATTTTTGCTTAACTTTAAGTAAATTTGATGAAAGATTTAGCAAAGAACATCTAAATAATTTGTTTTATGATGTTTATAAGTACAAAACTGGTTACGTTTTTTACTTTCTACGACTACAAGATTAATCTAACTTTATATTGTTTTAGTTTTCTTCTCTGTTTTCTTCTCTAGTGGGCAAGGATAACTTAGATAGGACGAAAGCAGCTTTGTCAGATGCTGCTAATAAAGTTCAAAGTGGTGCTATATCTGGGGTGTTTAAATCTGCTATGGATTATATTGGACAATCGGCTGGAGGGCCTACGAATGGTAACGTTGATCATCCGTTAGTTGGAAGTACGGTTGAAGTTAGTGGAAAAAAGTTTAAAATACGTTCACTGCTGGCTGAAGGTAAGCTTTTGTGAAGGATATTGTTTTAGACATACAAGTGAGGGATATGGTTTTAATTTTAAAAATGGTAATATTGTTTTAAGGGTTTTTAATATTTTTACAAGATTTTAAATTTTAGGTGGATATGCATTAGTTTTCTCTTGCCAAGATGCCGAAGGACGATGGTATGCTCTAAAGCGGCTATTAGCTAGTGATGCAGCTGCAGCTGATGCTATCATTCAGGAGATCAACTTTTTGAAAGAGGTATGTCTTGTTTTTTTGTGTTTATTTAAATTTTAGGTAACAAAAAGTTGAGTTTGAAAACCTAATTATTACGTTTGAAACAATTCAAACTAATTTTTAGTTATCTGGCCATCCCTGCATACTTAAATATATCGGTGCAAATCAAGTAAAACAGAATGGTCGTGTGGAATATCAATTGCTGACAGAATATTGTCCTGGTGGGGCTTTGAACGAGCTTTTACAGAAGGATCCATTATCCGCTAAGCAGGTCTTACAAATATTTTATGCTGTGTGTAGTGCAGTACATTGCATGCACGATCGTTCACCACCGATTACTCATAGGGACTTAAAGGTAGGTTTGTTTGGAAGTACTTTTTTGCCGATTTATAAAATTATCGTTTGATATCATTTTATACTTTTGATTATTGAGTGATCTAGTAAATAAGGTAAATTAAAGTTATTTTTGTTAGAAAATAGATGTTTAACATAGTTTTTGTAAAATTAAAAATTTTAGATAGAAAACCTATTATTTGATGCTAAAGGACATGTAAAGTTGTGTGATTTTGGTTCAGCTACGACCAGTGTATATAGACCTGACGATTCTTGGTCTGTTTTAATGAGAACTCAATTGGAAGAAGACGTAAGTCATTTTATCCTTTAAAACATACAATTCAAAACTTTTTAAAGTGATTTGAAAATGAATGTAATTTCAGATGCAACAATTCACGACGCCAATGTATCGTGCTCCAGAAATCTTGGATACATATCAAAACTTTCCGATCGGTCCATCACAAGATATTTGGGCGCTTGGATGCATATTAGCCTACATTTGCTATAGAAAACATCCATTTGAAGATAGTGCCAAGTTACGGATAATTAACGCGAAATATACATTACCTACTGAAGAGTCACAATACACTATATTTAACCCTTTGATTGGTAAGTTAGAAAAAGGCTTTGGCTTTGAGGGGGAGGTGGAGGGGTGGTATGGTTTTTAAATGATATTGACTTTTAAGTATTATATTAAAGCATACCTTTTTTCAGAAAGTTTGCTTCAACCGGACCCTTATAATCGACCGTCAATCGTCGACTTGATGGAGAGACTGGAAGCCGTAGCTGTGGTACTTAATGTTGACCCAAAGGGAGCTCCAGTTGAAGGTGTATTGCCTGATACTCCAGGTAAACTTTGTTTTTGATGGTTGGGATATTTGTTTTGAAAGATTTTTTACTCATGTGGGTCAGTACGAAAGCTCACACGATTTCTGATACTTTGACACATTTGTTGAATTGGAGCTAAAACTGTTTAGCGTTAATTTTAGTGTTAATCTTATTAGACATACCATTTAAATAAAATGTTATAGTAGAACACCCATCAAGACCGCCACCACCCAGACCAGCAGCACCACCAGTATCAACAACGAAGAAGCCTCTAGTTCAAGAAGAATCATTATTTTCGAATCCGTTTGGCAAAAAGACACCAGTAGAAGAGAAGCCAAAGCCAGCTGATGACTTTTTCTCTTCGTTAGGATGGTCCCAGAATCAACAAGAATCCTCAGCTTTATTCAGCGACGATCAAAAAGCTGCTGCTTTGAGTCAAGAACAACAAATTATGGGCGGATTTGGAACCGAACACGTAGGTTTTGTAGATTTGAGTTACTGTATTAGTTTTCTTAGAGTAAATTTTTTAAAAATAGCGTGATACGACGTAATTTTGCGTTTAAAAAATTGATTTTACAGAACCCACCTGTGCCAAAACATCAAGAAGCGGCACCAGAAAGACCACCACCACCTCCAAATCGAACAGAATCCAAAAAAGAGTCGAATTTGACAGATGTTGACTATGAACGAATGTATGGAATACGAGTGAGCGAAGAAGCTCAATTTGTTGATCAAGATGCTGATAAGTACAGGTTTGACAACGAAAAAAAGGAAGAACTACCTTCAGCAGCACCAGTACAACAAAAGGTCGAAAATGATCCATTTGATTTGTTTGATGGTAGGTTTTCGGGGAATATAATGTTTTAAGTGAGTGGGCAGGGTAAATTGTGTTTTTAATTGATTTTGAGGTTTTAAAAGTTTAAAAAAAGTTTTAGGTTTTATAATTAAAACATTTTTTGGGCTCAAAAATAAATATTTAGGGTTAGTATTTATACTTAAACTTGATATTTCAGCTATTTCCCGATCTACCCAACCCGCTCAACCCCAAGCTCATGACTTATTTGGTGATTGGCCCAGTGATAATGCTCAAATGCATCGAAATGCTTCAGCCCCACAATTAGAGAAAAAGACCTTTGATCCGTTCGCCGAGTTCTTAGCAGCCAATGGTGGACCACCAGATATAAAACCTTCAGAAGCCCCGAAATCAGTCAACAACTCGGGAAGGTCAACTCCATATAATGGACAGTCAAATCAGAAACGAGGTTTCGACTCGTACTTTGGAGGAACCCAGCCGACTGGTAATAAATTCGGAGCAAACGCCTTTGACGACATTCTATCTCAACAAGGATTCGCATCTTCGAAACAGAACAGTCAAAGAACGCTGGCGGATTTGAAAAGAGAAGAGGAGGTACAGAACATGGATCCAACTAGAATTAAGGTAAGACCTTATAAAGAGTTCGAAGTTTTTTGAATGCTATTGTTGTTTCACATTGAAAAAATTATTTTTTTTTTGATGAAGGTGAGCAAAACTCATACAATAAGGTTTCTAGGCTTTAAAACACAAAAAAAGACTTGTAGAAGCCCTCGAGGTTTCAAAGTGTTGACTTTGAATTCTTTTTTGACTCATCAAACTCAAGGCTGCATAAATCTAAAGTTTATATTTTGAAAGCAAAATACTGTTTCTAAACAAATTTTTGACTTATTTAGCGCACAAGTTTGATCAAAAACTTGAAATTGATAAATAATATACCAAATATAACAATTGACGTTTACACATACATTTCAAAATAATGAACAATCAAAACACAAACAAATCACAAAACCCGTAAAACTATAAAAATCATAACGAAAACTATATACTCTACGTGATTCTTCCTACAATTTGGTTTCATAAACTGAATCGCGTTCTTTGCTCTTTATTCTGAACAATCTGCTTAGCAGGCGCATCAAAGAACGACCTCAATTCGTTCAGATCGAAACGTTCCCAAAACGCACTAAAACAGGCAAAATACGTTTATTTTAAGAGAATGAGTGGGGTCGAGACAATTCAAATGTTCACGTGAACAAAACCTGATTTATTTTTCGATTTTTTTTGGATTTTTGGAAGTTAATTTTGTCTGGTCACTTTTTGTCTTTGAAAGGTGGAATGTACTGTTTGATAGTCAGGAAAAAATGGCAAAAGAAGTAAAAATGAACATGAAATTCAATTATTAAGAGTTTCATGCTAATAGGTTGCTCATGTAATTCTGTGCTTCCGCTCAAAGCAAATTTTTGAGGTTAGGGGGCAGAGAATTTTTTGAACTACTTAATATGTATAACTTTTGCATAATGAAAGGTCGTGCTATAATATTTTAAAGTGATGTACAAAAGACTATTATAGATATTATAGTCATTTGATTTAGTTTGAAAATTAAATGTTTGAGAAACAAAAAATTAGAAAAAATGTGAATTTTAAAGTTTTCTGCCATAATTTTGTGTAATTATACATTGACATTGTCCTAGATGAATTATTCATCTCTGAAATTTATTTTTAGTATCAACAGTTTGCTTTTGAAATTTGAGAGTCCTAAAGAAGAGTTTAAAGAATTGAACGAGGCCTAATAAGGAAGTAAATGATGCCTCAGGGAATACAAAAAATTATTTTAAGGAGAAATGCGAAGATACAAGCAAACATTGCAACATCATGTAGTTGAATGGTACAATTAAAAACATATTTATTGTCAAGGGTACAATAAAAACTTATTCTTTAATGATAAACACACATTTATTGTACCATTCAACTTTTGTCTTGATTTTAGAATCAATGCAGTTGTTGTTGATATTAGGTTGTTTAGATAATTATGAGCTTTTAACCTTGAAATTTTGCTTTGAGAATTTGCTGTGGGAGCACAGAATTATTTTAACAACCTAATATATGTTTTAACAAGGTTTTAGTTTGTGAGGAAGTTTATTGTATGCTACAATTGCACTTTGGAAGAGTTTTTGCCTGAAATCACGTGAAGAAAAATATGAAAAGTTCGTGGAAATTTTTCGAATTTTATCGTATTTTTGCTTGATAATGAATTTTATCGTATTTTTGCTTGATTTAAATGAATTTTGAGAGTTTTGAAAAAAGGCTATTTTTGGATGAGATTACTGTAGTCTGCAAGTTTAAGAAAAAAATTAGTAGTTATTCTGGAGCTCCACTATATTAATATTGTATTTTGCAGATACGAGACTGGACTAAAGGTAAAGAACGGAACATACGAGCCTTGTTAGGCTCCTTAAATGATGTTCTATGGGAGGGGTCGTCGAACTGGAATCAGCCTGGTATGGGAGAACTGCTGTCTGATATTAATGTAAGTTGTTACTGTCTTTGAAGAATTATTATTTTGCTCTGACTAATATAATTTTATTTTTTTAAATATTTTTTGTTTAAATAATTTTGCGCTCTCTTTCAAGGCAAATGTTTGGAGTTGGGAGGCACAGAATTATTTCAACATCCTAAAAGGAATTTATGGCTAAAAAATTGAGAAAACGTTGAAGGAAAAGATTCGTAGCTTAAAACTTGTAATCTTATGGTTTTTAAATTTCAGGTGAAGAAGTACTATCGCAAAGCCTGTCTAGTGGTCCACCCAGACAAACAAACTGGTCAGCCTCACGAGGAACTGGCTAGATGCATCTTCACTGAACTGAACGATGCTTGGAACGAGTTCGAGAGCAAACGGTAGAGACTTCTAATATCTGGTAATTCTAATATCTGAATAGTATTTATATCTAATCTTGTAGTAATTTAAGAGAGTTTTGTCGTAAAATGACTTGTAATTCTAAAGTTTTATTGTAAATTTGGCGGAGTTCTGTAAAATATGTCACTGTTTCTGTAAAATAATAATTTATCTATAAAAAGATGAATATTTTAAAATTTTATTGTAAGATAAGGTGTTTTTATTGTAAAATAAGATGTTTTAAAGTCTTTTTTCAAATCAGAATCTATATTATTCATGGAGAGATATCGGTTCATATAAAAATGTCTTTTTAACTAACAAACTTAAGATTATATTGTCATTTCTCTAGTCCAAAAATAAAGTTTTATAAAATTTTAAACTTTTATTTATCTGTTCGTGAAGTTAACAATGTAAAAAAGAGGGCGTCTTTAAGATTTATAAGGTAAAAAGGGTGTATTTGCAAGTTTACAATGTAAACAATACAATAGGTGAAGAAATAATGCTGGTTTGAGGCTCAAAAGGGCGATTTTCAAAGAATAACAAGATTATCAACAAGATATCATGGATATATTGATGTATGAACTGTGTTTTTAAGTTTAAGTTTTTGAAATTAAAAATGATTTTGTCAATGTCATTAACGCAATGTGCTGAATGAACAATTGGGTTTAATGACAAAAAGACCTGCTGAAGCGGATTGTGACGTTTAAAATTCGAGTCAAAATGATCGAAATTCCAAACAAAAACATCGTAAAAACGAAACGTCAGAGATGAATGAGGGACACGTAATGTTAACAATGAGGTGGATAGGACAGATTGAGTACCAGAGAGGATTAAAGTTGCTAAAAATGTCAGCTTTCAAAATATTAACTTACATTTTTTATTCTTAGGAAACTTTATTATATTCACAATGACTTGCAGCATCAAAACACATTTTCGGTACCATTCTTTATATTCTAAAGCCAAACTTCTTTTGTATGGTACTCAACCAAAGAGCTATCATAACCATGGTGTGACACTAGCTAGGTAATTTTTAATAGGAGTTCTGTTACAAAGAGCGGTCAGAATGCTGTCATTATAAAGAAGATGTCATACTATCGAAGGGCCCTACTAAAGCGGTGGCTCTGTATTAATCTTAACTGAAACCTTGCTTACATTAAGCAAGTTCTTTTAAATTTTTTGGAATAATGCTAAACCTCTGTAAACAAATATTTTTCATAACAAATCCGCTTACAACTTCAAGAGCAATATATTTAATATTCCAAAAATAATTATTTTAATTAAGGTATGACTTGTACTAACAGGCAAATAATGGTACAGCGATGTTGTTGTGACAATAATGCTGTCATGATGACATTACTAATCTAGTCATGCTGACAGTAATACTACCGTCATGATGAAATCAATAATATTGTCACGATGACTACGCGTCTATTCGCATCAAGATTTTTTTCAACGTCGACTTGATGTCGGTTGGTTCCTTGTTTAAATTTAAATCGGTGTCAGTTTCAAATTTGATGGCATGCTTGCCCGGTAATAGGTCTGGCTTTGGCATTCCGTGGTTTTCGACCGGTATCAAGGGGAAAAACAGGTGGTCGTAGAGAAGCTGAAAAACAATTACGTGAGGTATTGTTATAGTTTTTTAAGCTAATTTTAAAAGTCTAAAAGTTTTTAAATTTTTGAAAACTTTTTTTACTTAACAGCCAATATACTATAACATTATATACTAATTCTTACCTTACTACTATCCACTGAATTCCAATTGTTTTCGATGACTTCAGCTGACTGACTGTTGCTTTTGTTCGGCCTTACTACTACAAATTTACTGTCAGTAAACAGAGCGTGTCTTGGACCGGCTGGTAGCCTTGAATTTGGACGTTCCGTATCACGATGATGTCGTGATCTGTGATGATGCGAGGCAAACGTAGATGATATGCAAATAATGAGGAATGATAAGACGCATCGAGAGTTTAGTTGCATTGTACTGTTTAGTGTGTGGAACTACTATATTTAGTACTACAAATTTTTTAAGTTGAAGGTTGGTTGTGGTTACAATGAAGCAACTAGAAGGTAATCACCTTTTTACTATAGTAGAAGTCACTCACCCTGTTATATAAGTAAAGTGATGTTGACTAAAGACAATAAAACCAAATTACAGTAGATAATATTGCAAGAACAATACACGTTGTAGTAATGTTGATATTGTAGATAATTGCCAGCGTTTTCTTTATGTCTATACCTACAAAAATTTGTAATAAATATTTTTAAATATAAAAAAATGAAATATAATATAATCAAAATGTAGTGTTATTCTTTGCAAGTGGGATAAAATACAAAAATTCAAAACTATAGCTTCACTTCATCACGGAAAAATATAAAATAAAGATAATTTTGGCAAAACATATGCTAAAAATATGCATACAACAAAATAGGCAATAATTTGACATAATGCATAATGGCTTCCTTCCGACTACGGTCTGAAGTTTTGAAGAACACATCATCACGACCCGGTAGCACGATAAACAGGGTCACCATTGTAGCTGTTCCCAATTGAATCCCAGCTAAATGATCTCGTTTCTCAAGCTATCAATTTGTGATGAGGCCCTCCTCAAGACTTCAAGCGGTAGTCAAAAGCCTGTGTAAGCCAAACAACTGATTTTTCATAGCCCTGTGCACTTATTTAGCGTTTCTCATTCACTTGTAATTTACAGAGCCACAACCGTTTATAACAAGACGTTCTAGCAAGCCTATATCATGGACTAGGCTTCTTAATGAATAAAAAAAAACTAAAAACCAAAATATCAAAAGAGGTTATAAATAAGTGACACAAGCTAAAACTCATGAATAAACCACACTTATTACCTAATAATAACTTGTGACCGGTGCAATGTCAAGTTACTCAAATTATTTTTATGGTCAGCCCAACCAAATACAATTTCCCTACCCTCCAACTGGCTATGACTATTTATACGCCCAAATCGAGTTTTAAACTGTTCGGCCCAATTAATCTCCCCAGGGAGTTTAAAAGAATTTGGACACACCCACTTTTATTACCAACATACGATGATCGTCTTAAGTAAAGTAATGTTGATGACTTTAGCATACAGTGAAAAGTACAGTAACAATCAATTAATTATCGTTAAGACGAATCAAAACAATTACTAATATTACATTACTCTGATTAGTTTTTGGAAAATTGGCTTTGCAACATTTTATGACCATGACCTAGAGGTAGGCCTGGAGAATAATATTTTATAAAATTTGGGAGAACAGGAGCAGGGCTAGAGCTAACAATTATAAGGCTGGGCTAGGGTTCTAGGCTAGGGTTCTAGGCTAGGGTTCTGGGCTAGGGTTTGCACTAGGGCTATGGGCTGGAGCGGGCTAATTGTAACAGCGATATGGATGCTTTTCTAGTACAAAAGCATTCTACGTGGTAAAAGTTACAGTAACAAAGTTGCAGTGCCAACCTGACATTTTCTTGATCAGTCAGCAATATAAACAAAAAACGTTTTAAAACTAGCTGATATGAACAAGAACCACTCTTATATACTGTCATTACAACACATAAACACTTGTTTTTAATAATAAGTTAAATATTGACATGTACAGTACACTTACAATATTATTATTAACTGGCGAATCACAAAACAAACGTGGGTTACCACATATAATTTACATATATTAATATCACATATATTACATTTGATATAACACTTATATTCACATTATTCAAGTTATTGTTTAACAATAAAGTGATGACATTCACAAACAACAGGCAATTTATCATAACATTCTAAAGTCTAACAAACAATTCAAAGTTTTATGATGATATAGCATTATATATTACAAGTTAAAAAGCAAGACATATCACTGCTTATATATTTATCTTTATATATATGATTATCTACAGTTATAACAAAACTGGACGAATAAGTTTCTTAAAGTTAGGTACGACTTTCAGCTGAAACTCATGACACAGTGTAAGAAATATATGTCGTACTCTTTTAAACTTTTTCAAAATTTTTAATTTTAATATTAAAATTTAAAAGTATCTAAAAAAGTCACAAAGTGCAAAGCTGTACAATTACCTTTGTACGAAAACGTGCCAAACAATACAATGGCTATAAATGAAGTGTCATAAGCGTAATACGACGCGTTTCAGCTGTCGTTTAGTGAACTTTACTACAAATATTCATTTGTAATTAGCCAGTTTTTACAAATATAAAGTATATTTAGTTACTATAAAGGTTAAACGAAGTGTAAGGTATTCATGGCTCTGCTCTTTTGGCAGTTAGGGTGGAGTGAGGCAAGGCAAGGCAAGACAGGCCAATCTAAGCCAAGCCAAGCTAAGCCAAGGCTTCTTAATACCATGACAGCAAGCCTATTTGTATTTATTTTACCCTTTTTAAAGACAGGACCAGTCTTTTCTATAGGATCGCTTTAATACTATTATATATAGTACAAAAGAAACTAATACATTATACTTAAAGTCAGTTACAGTACTAAAAATCTATCCAATTACTATTTGCAGTACGTACTATACTACATACAACAACTTAGCAATAAAAGTAAAAAAAAATTTTAAAAAAGTAAGAAGTTTTTAGCACTACACGATCTACCTACAGTAGCCCTAACCTCCCCCTTTCCGGTTTATCTATTGAAAACCACTTGTCCAACCCAAAACAAAACAAAGTCACGTCTTAAATATAGTGGTTACTATAGCAAAATCAGTTTTGAAGCCAAAAACAAGTCGTGGGTTTGTTATCTTCAACTTTTAACTCTCAGGTTATGTTTAAAAACATAACCTGAGGCAATTTAAACACACGTTGGACACAAAAATCAAGCATAATGCACAACAAAAAAAAGATAAACTGTAATTTAGGAGCAGTTTAATGTGAATAATACTCAAAATTAGGCAAAGAAGCACGTAGGCGGGGGCACGATACTGGGGAACAGTATGTTTAGTCATAATTCGTATCATATGATGACGAGAAAGATACGATTATGTAGATACGATGACTTTTATGGTTGAAAGTATAACCATAACACCATGTTAACTTTGATGGTTGATATGATAATGATGAGTACCAAAAACATTTTTTAAATAGGCAGTATACTACAGTAATATACCATCACACTCAAAGCTACATTTTAAAGTACTTTTGACTGAGTAATCGCTTACAATTGTTATTGTACTAAAGTATGATAAACAATCTGACAATTGTAAAACGTTTATGTTGTGAACATTGAGCCTTGGTACTACGCTTTTCATAAAATACGATGAGCCATTGCCTCTCCTACAAGCTACATTAACATATTGTTGTGATTTCTAACCTCGAATGGCTCAACTAAAGTGCTAATCGTAAAATGAGGTCACTGAAATTACAAGAATGTAACTCTACTTTAATTTGGGCGATTACTTTGTCGTATCTACATCAATTTTAATATGATTGTTGTTGTCTTAATCTCTGAAACTTTGAAAAATAATGTCTGGTAGTATCGTTAGCCTAGAAGACAAGATGTACAGCTTGATAGTACTATTATAATTTAGTATCGACCTGTGCTTTTACATTATATAATATAATATTATTACGCTAGAACAAACTGGTAGTATATCTGCAAATGCTCATTACTACTTTAAGATCGAATAGTACTTACTATTAGTCAGCTTAATAGAAGTTTTTTACGCTACTTGACAGCACTAATTTAGCATCAGTTACTAAGTAATGCTTCAGTATCTTCTTAATAATACGGGAATTACCAATCACAAATTATACAGCCTCTAATAGTACTATTTTAAGATCAAATACTACTTTTTTAGTATTTGATATTACTAAGTCAAAACCAATCATTACTTTTACTTTGCTTCAAAGTACTGCTTTAGTACCAATATGTAGCATTGCTAAATTAAAATTAGCTAGTACTTTTACAGTATATAATATTATTGTAGTACTTGAAAGTACTACTAGCACTTATTATTACAGTACTAGGTTCGACCGACGACTTTGCTCGGCCCAGGCGCATTTGTAATTTACAAATGAAGGTTAAGTCCTAAGTGCACGGGGACTATGGCAAAGCGATTGCTGGGCCCACACAGGCTTCCAAACAGCCTGAACTCTTGAAGAGTACCTCATCACGAGTCAGTGGCTTGATAAACAAGATCACCTGGATAAGGCCCAATTGAGAACAGCTACAATAGATTGATCTAACTGTCTTCACCAAACCCTCACCATCCATCTAGTACTTTTACAATAAATATTTGTATTTTTAGCATCTTATTACGTAGTATTACGTAGTACTATTTACAACTTTGTCCTTATGTAAATTTGTTTATTGTAAAACGAAACACTTATAACAATTGTACAGGTATTTGGTCATACTTGTGACACTTTCAATTGTATGCTTTCCACTGTAATGTAAACAATGACACACTATTCTTAAAATTGTAAATTTGACACAGTAACAAGAACATGCGAAATCGTGAAATGCACTGTGATCACATACGACTACAATCTGTTTACAATCTATTAAGTATATGAGACACATCTATGTACAATGAACACATATGTGATGTTATATTGCATCGTAACTTCTAAACATTAATATACCATATTGTTCTTCTGTTCACAATAACAATGTAATTGAAGGTGACTATACTTTGTAACTTGACTTGTACTTTTGTAATGAATTCAATATAAAGTAATAAATTGTTTAAGCAAGTATTTTAGTGTCTAGTCAAATAGAATTAAATGTATATAATGCCAATATATCCGAAATAGCCGAAAAGAAGAGGTTTTTAATCAGACATTAACAAAATTAACATATAACGTTTTTTATAGGTTATTATAACAGAAATAATTCAGTGATGTTACTATACGTTTAAGCTTAACTCAGTTTTTATTGTAGCTTTTAACTTCATGATTCAAGTTGTATAACGTCGATCAAAAAACAATATTCAACCTATAATCTGACAGAACACAACGTCTTCTTGCACCGCTTATTTTTAGATTATGAATGTGTTACAGTCATCAAACGGTGAGACATACTGCTACAGTATTATATTTGTTTACTTGATCTAGAAAAATAAATTATATAATAGAAAGGAACAGTAAGTACAAACATGGCCAGACATTAGAAAAAACAGAAAAAAAAACGGCCTGTACTCCCAATTGTCAGGATTGGACACAGGTAAAGGTAGTTCAATCAAACATTTTTTGAATTTCGCTTTCCCGCTAGACTCATACCTTGAAAATTGTAATAGTTATCAATAACAACACAAAATAGATTATCACATTTAAAACCAATTTCTAGAAGCCACAAACACTCAAATTAAGTCCCGCCACGACAACAAAATATTTGGCATTCTGCACCGCATATATTCGCCAGCACGACAATAAGAGAATCTAGCTTTAAATAGTAAAGCGGTCAATCAAAGGGAACAGAGAACACGGCAATAGTCAGTCAGCAAGCAAGCAGGACGGTTAAGGACGCCAATTCCTTGAACTGTATCTAAATATATATGTAAAGTAAGTATCTAAATATATTTCACATCGGTTTTCCTTAAATCCAAGGTAATAATAAGTATTTTATTCGAAAACGAGATCACATTGCAAGGAATAGATATGAATGAATAAATAGTCTGAATATGTACAAGTTACAGAGATTCCCTGGCACTATCCGGTTCGTTGGGCGCGTACTTTCGTTGTAGCCGAGCTGAGAACCGCTCGAAACACTTGAGTCGATACTGGGGGAGGATGGTGATGGTCAACAATGGGTTTACTATCTAAAACAATGTGGTTTTAATAATGTTTTTAAAAAAAAATTTTTTAAATTTTTTATTTTTTTACCTAAAAAATGCAAAAATTTTCTTTACACATTAAAGTATAACATTTTAAAAAAGTCTTCCTCTTCCAGTAGCTTACCGAGTTCAAGTACACCATGTACATGAAGATCCAGAACATTAATATCGTAGCACATTCGTTCTTCCTCGCTGGATTCAATGCCCGATAGATGCCAACGAATCGATATGGTAATAAAGTGATCGCCGTGAATACCGTAGTCATGAATACGAAATAAAAAGTTCGAATTTTTGTCACAAAAACCGAGTTTTGTCGCGAATCATTTGTATTTGGAGAACAGAGCAATTTTTCTGAAAAGCGCAAGGTTTAGTAGATATTAACATAGTACGGTACTGAATAAAATTAACTTATAGTCAAAAGGTATAATAGGCTTGTTATCAATGTCTGGGGTGAGAAACGGGCCAAGTTCAACTTCAAAGACTGGTCTGTTTCAAATTAAGTTCAAAGACCTGCGATCAGGCCGGGCTAGGCCTTCTACCTCACCCCGATCAATTTTTTTTACATTGAACTACTAAATATGATAATCCTACAGCTGGTTAAACAACATATAGGTATAAAAGAACAGTTTAAACCCTGAGGGCATGTGCAGTCGTGTCCGAGTGGTTAAGGAGATTGACTAGAAATCAATTGGGCTCTGCCCGCACAGGTTCGAATCCTGTCGACTGCGGCCAGCTTTTTTGAGGGTTTTAGGTGACAAATTTAGTTAAAATCATACTTTTTCTAATTTTTAGGTTGCAAAAGGTTTTTTTTGGCTTTATAAAATGTAAAAAATTTAGTTTTTAAAAACTGAAAAGATATAATAGCCTTTTTTCATACCTAAAATTAAAATTTTATATTGTATGGCCCCAAGTCAATTACTGCCTTTTTTCACCTTCAAAACCTCTTACCTTGTTTAATTTGATTTCTATGAAACTGCATAATCTTCAGAATGTACAAGGCCACAGTCAACGACGTTACAGTAGGTATTACTCCCACACTCAACATGAACGGTATGTAGATATGTAGTCGGTTGGGGAAGATGGCCAAAGTGGCGCAGTTGTCATCAACACATCGAAACGACTTCCGGACCCAGGCAAAGATGACAAATGCAATCGAGAAGGCCCAACATAAGGTGCATATGAACAGTGATCGGCGTCTGGTAAAGTGTTCCGTATACCTTAGAGGCGATTGGAAGTAGAACAACTTGTCAATGTTCATGAACACTAGTGATACCGATGATACGATCAGACTTATCCAACATAACATGTGCATGGCGGCGTTTATTGCGAATGGAAATTGAGGGAAAAAGTTGGTGCGAGGTGAGAATTCAATTGGATAACAAATACCTACAACAATATTTTTAAATGATATAAAAGTGAAATTAGGTAACAAAAATCTTAATAAGGTAACGGAAAAGCTATAGTATTTATTATATGTTCTTAAAATGCTTCATAGCAATACAATCTCTGTATTACCTGATCCTACCATACCCTACCTTTTCGTACTCTACCTGACTTTGCTCTATCTTACCCATTCTATCTTATCCTATCCTACTTTACTCTATCTTATCCTACCGTATGTTTCTTTACAGCGCTATAAACGATAGTAGATGTCTTGCCCTAAACGTATGTAAATAAAGTTCTTGCCTACCTGTAAGAATAAAGTCGGCTAATGTCATTGAAAACAAGAACACATGAAGACATTTGTCAGCCGTCTTCCTCCGAATATGTTGATAAGCCCGTTGTAGAACAAATAACTGTAAACAGGATGAGGCTAGTGTGCATATTAACAATGCCGCATCCGTGATCTCCGTGAAGCCAATTATGAATTCTGGAGACACTATCTGGAAATTTGGGTATTAAATTTTTTAAAATTAAAAATAATGCACTTTTTTCAAATTTTAAACTTTTAAATTTAAAAATTTAAATTTTTTAAAATTTCGTTTTTTATAAACAAAATAAAATTTTAATTAAAAACTGCCATTCCTTACCTGTGGATTCAAACAAAAGTCTCCAGGCGGCTCCGAATCCGATGAATTGTCCATGTTCCGTGCCCCGAATGGCCCTTCAACGTGCTGTGCCAAAGTATTTTAATTCGAATTAAGCTGGCATTAAGTGACCAGTTTCTGAATAAAGTATTCGAATAAAGGAATTGTACTTGAAATCGCGTTTAATTACAATGTTTACAACCGAGGAAGCAGAAGTAATAACATTGAAAAGTTATTCTATTAAAGACTTGGTGTTATATTGTGAGTAATTGTATACAGACACGGTAATTATAATATTGTAAAACAAGTGCAAACATATATTAAACATAGTAAGTATATAGTAGTGGTAAATGTTGATATATAAGGCTAGTATAAAAATAAATTCCAAAAAAAAATTAAAACATCACTAAATAGCCAAAAATTCATATATAACGCTAAATAATATGAATATAAAAAACTAAGACGATATAAACATCTTAAATACGAAAAATTGATTTCTAGTATTATTTGTTACCTAAAAAACCCAAAAAAGCATGCCGCAGTCGACAGGATTTGAACCTGTGCGGGCAGAGCCCAATTGATTTCTAGTCAATCTCCTTAACCACTCGGACACGACTGCACATGCCTTCAAGTTTAAACTGTTCCTTTATACCTACTATTTGTTTAACCAGCAGGAGGATTAGCATTTATAGTACAGGGTGTCCAGAGAAAAGTGGAAGAAAGTCCAGGCTTCGTTCTCAAAAACTAGAAGTCCAAATTGGCTGATTCTTTTTTTGTTAAGCTTCTAATAGCATGCGGATTTGTTCTGTATGATTTTTTTGATCATTCGGCGGAGGTTCGGCGAAGACCGGCGGACGGTATTTTTAATGTTTTCATGGCTATTCCAACCTGTTTCGTATTGCTACTCATGTTTTGGCCATTTTTCATTTCAATTTTAAAATTTTCTTAAAATTTGATACCATCGGCGGAAAAACCCGGCGAACGCCATAACTCAGCCAAGTATTGATATTTTTTTTCCAAACAAAAACTAACATTTTCTATGTTTCTTTGCCATAAAAGTGGACTAAATTTGGTAATTTTTAAACTTGTGCACAAAAATCGGCGAAAAGCACGTTTATCGGCGGAGGCCATAACTCTGTTCAAAGTCAATATTTTGACTTCAAACAAAAATAATCATGTTTGTATGAAAATCTTCTTTAAAATGATAGAGTTTGACAAAATTTAAACAAAAAATTAAAGAATCGGCGGAGACTCTGTTTATCGGCGGAGGCCATAACATTGTTCAAAGTCCATATTTTGACTTGAACCAAAAACCATTATGTTTTTATGAAGATCTTCTTTAGATTAAAAATTTTTACAAATTTTAAACAAAAACGGAAGAATCGGCGGAGACCCCGTTTATCGGCGGAGGGCATAACTTCGTTCAAAGTCAATATTTTGACTTCAAACAAAAATAATCATGTTTGTATGTGAATATCCTCTAAAATAATAAAATTTGATTGTCTTCAAATAAAAACTGAGAAATCGGCGGAGAGTATGTTTATCGGCGAAGGCCATAAATTTGTTGAAAGTCAATATTTTTATTTCAAACAAAAAACAGTGTGTTTGTATGTGATACTTCTTTAACATAAAGAAATTTTGTTACACATTTGCTTTTAACGTCAAGAGACCGCAACCTTATTTGTATCAACAAGATATTTTTTGTAAAAATTTACTAACTTAACTAATATGTACCAAGACAATTGGTATACGAACGTAATGGTTTTTCTCTTCAAGTTCAAGTATTGACTTTGAACGAAGTTATGGCCTCCGCCGATAAACCTACCCTCCGCCGATTCTTTAATTTTTGTTTAAATTTTGTCAAACTCTATCATTTTAAAGAAGATTTTCATACAAGCATAATGTTTTTTGATTGAAGTCAAAATATTGACTTCGAACAGAGTTATGGCCTCCGCCGACAAACGTGCTCTCCGCCGATTTTTGTGCACAAGTTTAAAAATTACCAAATTTAGTCCACTTTTATGGCAAAGAAACATAGAAAATGTTAGTTTTTGTTTGGAAAAAAAATATCAATACTTGGCTGAGTTATGGCGTTCGCCGGGTTTCTCCGCCGATTGTACCAAATTTTAATAAAATTTTAAAATTGAATTGAAAAATGGCCAAAACATGAGTAGCAATACGAAACAGGTTGGAATAGCCATGAAAACATTAAAAATACCGTCCGCCGGTCTTCGCCGAGCCTCCGCCGAATGATCAAAAAAATCATACAGAACAAATCCGCATGCTATTAGAAGCTTAACAAAAAAAGAATCAGCCAATCTGGACTTCTAGTTTTTGAGAACGAAGCCTGGACTTTCTTTTACTTTTCTCTGGACACCCTGTAGTTGTGTCTGACCTCATTTTCTTCCACGCACTAGTCTTACCTTGTTTTAGCCTCCCTTTCATCTTACCTATCCTTTTACTTCTCATATAATCTCGAACCCATCCCACCCTGCCCACCATCAAACCCGCCCAAAACCAGTTCAAAAGCCCAACCCAAAAAGAACCGGACTAAGTTATTTGTATTCAAATTCGAAAGTCTGGCTCTTAATAAATGAACATCATATGCTTCGTATTACTAATTACTCTCAACAGATGACTTTGATTTAAAAACAAACTGCTTTGTCTCTTATTATATGCACTTTTTTACTGAGTAGGTTTGTATGACGCGCATACAGGTTATGACGTTTGTTGCTACAAAAACATACTGTTTTTACTACGCGTTTTACTGTTATAGTTAAGAGGTATAAGTAAAAACAAAGTAGTAAACAGTACTTTTTATGTTTAGAGGTAACGACAATACTTATAAAATCTATAACAATGTGTGTAACATAGCCAGTAGCCCATTTATCTATAGTACTAAGACAATGTAGACCATCTATTTTACAAAGTACTAAAAAATAAAAAAAAGCAAAAAGAGTACCATCAACCTATCTTGTAGTACCCAAATACCATATTCAAATGTACCAGGAAGTGAATCATCTTCAAAAACTGTGTAATATGTTAAGTAAAACCGTTGGCAACGTACCAACATCAAAGCCTACAGTGACAAACGATAATGACAGACAATGTCCCTGAGGCATCATAGCTACATAACATATTTATTGCCCAAATCTCTTGCGTTTTTCATGTTTTCAAGTTGGTTTCTTAATCAAAGCATGACAAAATGGCATAAACTCTGCTGTTTTAGGACTTCTGATAGTGCAAATATGACTTTTTATTAGAAAATGTAAAGTTATTTATCATAGGAAAATGCTAATAGTAAACTAAGCCTTACCGTGCCTTGCCTTGCCTTTCCCTGTCTTGTCTTGCCCTACCTTAAAAAAAATCAAAAATTTTGAAAAGACAACAAAATTTGACCAAAATACAAGAGAAAGTGTCAGAACAGCCGGTTTGTTTGTCCAGGTTCTCCAAGCTAAGAATAGGCTTCAAGAAACCATAATTACTAAAAGAAATGCTAAACTACATTGTTGTCTGTCAAAAGAAAAAAGAAAGTAACAAAAAATATTACTTTTTATTATAATAGTTGTTATACAGAAGCTACTAGAGTAAAAAACACTAGTATATACACATAAAACGTCTCAAAATGCCGTAAAACTAAAAATTTTGATCTTTAAACCTAATTTAAAAGTTGATTTTCCATAAATTATATAGCTGAAAATAAATAAAAATAGAAAAAATATGTTTTTAGTTCGATTTGTTACCTGAAAATCTCAAAAAAGCATGCCGCAGTCGACAGGATTCGAACCTGTGCGGGCAGAGCCCAATTGATTTCTAGTCAATCTCCTTAACCACTCGGACACGACTGCACATGCCCTCAGGGTTAAACTAGTTTTGTGAATACAAAAGATATTCAAACAGATTACCATGTATTACAGGGTGTCCCAAGAAACTTGCAGGATTTTAAAAATTTTTAATTCATCTTTAAGTGATGGCTAAAATACCAAACTTGGTACGGTGGAAGTAGTATGGCCAATGTATATTTTTTGTGAAGAATTTTGGGATTTTAGAGTGCATATGAAGGTCGTTATGAATTTTTGAAAAAACCCATCTTTACCCCGAAATACACATATTTTCAGTTGAAAATCACTTTTTTCATCAAAAATTTCTAAGTTTTTGGCTGTTTTGAGGCTGGAAATGCATTTTTGAGCTGAAAATTTATATTTTCTCCGCAATGGCGGAGACGGCGGACGCTTTAAATCATCGGCGGAGGCCATAACTCGTTTCAAACTTTATGGATAAACTTGAAACCAAAACCAATCTTCTTAAAATTTTATGCGCTATCCTCCGATGTATAAATTGTGTTGAAATGTTAAGGCAAAAACAGAAACTTAAAAGGTTAAATTATTAGCATCATAAAAAATTAATTTTTGGTTTATATTTTAAAAAGATAATTACTACAATAAAACATTGCGGAATTTTTCAGTTGCAGTTTATGTTTTGAGTGGTTTTTACAATATAATACTAAAAAAGGTGAAATAAGTAACTTAAAATGTATATTTTGAATTATTTAACTAAAAATAATTTCAACAACTTTGAAAAACTAAAAAATTTGTAAAACTTTTTAAAAATATCCCATTAATTAAAAAAAAAGGTTCAAGAATATATATGACATTCTCAAGTATATCTGTTAGGCAAAATAAATCTAGAAGCTCACAACTGAATAGTCTAAGGAACAAACCATTTTTTCATAACAATATGTTTATGATAAATCATCTGTTTTTATACAAAGAAAACAAAAACTGTTCAAGTAGCTGATAAAAGTTAGTTGAACAAGCTTGTAAAAAAACGATAACACACAGTACTCGCTTTTCGAAATAACGTTTTTTGTTCTTTTGACTTACGACATGCAAAACATAGTCTATGACAAGCCCTGCCCTTCCCTGCTCTGATTTACCTTGCCGTGCTGACCTTAAGCCTACCCTGTTCTGATTTGCCCTGCCTTGCCCTGCCCTTCACTTAATATAAAGTCCAAAAACCTTTAAAACTTTGCAAGCCAACCCCGCAAAAGTGTCAAA